CCAACACCAACACCAACACCAACACCAACACCAACAACAACAACAACAACAACAACACCAACAACCACACCAACAACACCACCACCAACAACAACAACAGCAACAGCAACAGCAACAGCAACAGCAACGACAACGACAACAACAACAGCAACAACAACAACAGCAGCAACAACAACAACATCACCATCGATAACACCACCACCACCGCCGTCGTCGTCGTCGTCGTCTTCGTCGTCGTCGTCGTCGCTTCCGGGCGCGAATCATCGGCCGCCAGCCTTGTCCATGATGACCTTCTCAGGGCACCACCTGTCGAGGACGTGGGCGGGGAGGGAGACGACAAAGACGGAAGAGGGAGGGGGAGGGAGGAGGGAGGAGGGAGGAAGGAGGGATGAGGAGGAGGGCAGCTGCGACCTCACTTCAGAGCAGGCCTCGGCCTCTCTGGCCTGCCTCTGTCAGGCACGCCTCCCCAGGGTAGGGAGTGGAGGCCATGCTCTGAGAGCTGCAGGCTGCTGACACCCGCCCCCAGCCTGCCAACCAACTCGGCAGAGGATCCGCCACAACTCCCCTCGCCATGCCACCTCACAGAGGATGGCGCGCCCAGGGGGCACGTGGAGAGGGGGCCCTATAGGAGATGACATGGGGTCCCTTGAGATTTCCTTGAGGTGATCGCCCCCTTCGGCAGGTTCGTGTTGTGACGACTGCGGCATTGGTTTCTGCACCGCGTGGATCGTTCACCTTGAACGAACGGCGGCTTTTGATCGCTGGATGGTTCCATAGTTCCCTGTTCTGGGCCACTGGCGGCGTTCAGCGGGGTCGCCGCCGCGTCGACACGACACGAACCTACCGCACTTCTTCCCAGAAGCGGGTAGCCTTCTTACGAGGTCTCCCACCTCGTCTTGCTCCATTTGGGCGCGCTCGCCAGTACTGCCCCGAGTCTCCAGCAGCGGACATGTCCTGAGACGGCTGGTCTCCAGCAGCAGGCATGTCCTGAGACGGCTGCCTGGCGAGCAGAACGCTGCCCGAACCGCCACTTATACGCGCCACAGTGTCTCGAGGAGCGAGGCTGTTCGCTCGAAAAGAGTACACACCTCTGCAAAATGGGCTTCCTTGGAAAACGTAAACGTGAGCTGGTCTGAGGATATTCGTCGACTCGGGGCGGCCGGAGGACGGGACTTGATGGGGTGGGTGGGACTTGGCCCCATTCTGTATTTTGTCGATGGGACCTGGTCGCCCTGAACTCAGGCATGATCCGCCACCTTGGGATCGCCCAGTCCCCAGCGGCTAGAGCGGGCCTGCCAGCGCCGAAGGTCAATCCACAGCTTCAGGCAGTGTGTGGACTCTTCTCGGTTGTGGTGGCGGCATCTTGCCGTAGGCACTGCGTGCAATGTCCTCTGGCCCCCCGGAATGCCTGAGGGCCCCAGGCTCCCAGCTCGCCGAATTCCTGCGCGCCTCTGGGCGTTCCGGGCCGCTCCCCGCGCGACGTCTCCAGGGAGCCTCAGGGAGTGTGCCCCGTGGGCAAAACCTGCATAAACCTGCAACATGCCCTCAGAGGGTCGCAGGGGTCCGTGCTGGAGCCCTCTTGGGGACCTCATGGGAAGCAGGGGTTCCTGAGTTCGCACTTCGCGCTGCGCGAAGCACAAAGCGCGACAAACTTCGCGCTCTGGCGCCACCCCGAGGGGTGAGGAGGAAGAAAAAGAGGAGGGCTTGAGGAGGAAGAGTTTAGCCGGATGCCAGCTGCTTCGTGACCCCGACAGCTCTGCCTTGCATTCAGTGCCTAATATCTGTGCCTCACTCTGTGCAGCGATGGTCTGGGAGTGGATATGGGGTGGGGTGAACGGACGGAGCGACCGCCGCCAGCTGTCATGGCGTCGGCCGCGGCAACCGCGGACACTCCGCCGCGTCCCAACCAACACGCATCCCAGCCACTTTGTTGCAGCTCCAGCGCTCTTTCCTTTCTTGCTGCTAGTGGCTCTCATATGCTTTCAGCCCACTCTACTGCCTCAGACCAGCGCCGCGCTGACCGCTCCTCCCCCCCCAGGAACTCTTTTCTTGCCTCGGCAGGACAGGGCCGCCTTGGTTGGCCCGAAGGCCAGGGGGTGGGGGCTTCCTGACGGCAGGGGAGAGGCCCTTGCGCCATCCAACTCAGCAAATGTGGCCACTGTCCGCGCTTCAGCGCAACACGCTGCGCCCACCAGCTACCGCCGCCGTCCGCCATTTCCCCTCACACCGCACCCCCGTGCAGACTTTACTGTCGCAGCTTACTTCCCCCTACTCCGCCCCCTCTCTAAGGTTATTTTGATGTGCCTCCCCTTCCTCCTCCCCTCCCACCCCCCCAGGGTGCAGGGGGCAAGTAGTTATCGTTTTGTCTCACTCTTGTTGCGGAGGCCGAAGCGAAGGAGGAGCGAGAAACGCGAAACGCAGTCATCTTCGCACCCCGCGGGTTAGCTCGGGGGAGCATTGGAATTATGTCCCAGGGGTGCCTGCAGGTCGACAACCATTGGGGGAGTATTGGAGGCACTCGGGGCAAGCCCACGAGGCCACATGTATTGAAAAACCTACGGGTGCTGTATGACTTTCAGACGCTCGTCTGTCGACCTTCAAGTCGTCCAGGACGGCCATTAAGGCTCAAAATATGTATTGCTCCGGGACGGCCTGCGAGCCCACAAGACAAGCCCAAGAAACTGCCAAAATGGCTCCGAGAGGCACCAAGAGGAGAAACACAAGCTGACATCTGGATCCCTCTACCCAATATGGCCCCCGCAACCGACTGGATGATCCCAAGGGGCACCCAAGAGGGCCTCAGAAGCCCCAGGAAGCCTCCAGAAAGCCCCAAGAGGTTCCGAAGAGGCTCCGAAGCCACAAGGAGCCTCTTACAAGGCCCGGCCACCAGGAGGCTTCCGAAGAGACCCTCAAGGCTTGTCTGGCCCACGACCAAGGCACGGTGGAGAGATTTGCCGAAGGCTACTCGACAATACTAAGACCTCAGGACCAGTGATTTTGCCCCGCGGACCCAAGAGAACAAATTCGATAGAGGTCCACGGGGAGGAGAGGAAGCAAATCTTCAACGAAAGGGGGGCAATGCGATGGCGATGAATAGGCAGGTAATGGCTGATAGTTTTTTTGTAGAAGCGTTCGTCGCGATTGCGCCATGAAGCATTGAAAACTCACGGAGAACACCCTGAACAAGTGGCTGACACTACCACCTGATGTGCGGCGCGAATATTATGGGCCCATGCCTCATCGTGCAGTGTGCTCCGAATTTGTTAGGGTCTTAGTTTACATGCCTATCGCCTATCACCTCCGCGAAGGCACCTATTCATCTTCTGAATGCGCTGCCCTCGTGTTCAGGCAGCTTCGGGCCCGAATCGCCCTGGCCACGTGTGAACGGCAAGAGCGCGGCCTGCTCTCTGTCGAAGCCAGAGCCAGGGAACAGGTAGAGGGTTGCGAACTCAAGCAGCACGCTCTCGCCGCCCCCGAAGCTCATGTGCGTCCGGCTTGTGCCCATCGCCCCTCAAATGATGGTAGATCGCATTGCCCTTGGCGGAATTCTCGAAGCTGCACTTCTCGAAGCACTGCTTGCTTCCCCTGCTCTCCACGGCTTCTATGGCCCTGAGAACTTCTCTCTGCGATTGATCAATCGCCTCCGCCATTCCTCGTACCCGCTCGAGCTGACCTGACAACAACCGCACTTCGCCCCTGACGTCGAATTTCTCCCCCTTCAGCTTTTCCGAGCAGTCCGCGCCGAACAAGCTATTCATGAGGTCAGCGATCGCGGATTCTGGCAGCCACGAAACCACCACCCTGAGACCTGTCTCTTTGGCCCACTCTGAAGCCTTCCCGAGCTTCTTCGTGCGCTCTTCACTGGTGGGCGAGTCCCCCTCGATGTCCTTCACCCAAACGAGCTCTGGCACTGACAGATGGGATCTCCGGCGCTCGTCCGCGAAAGCCTCGACGTAGCGCTGGAAGCCATTGGCCCAGGGATCGCCGTCGACCACCAAGTAGTCTGGGCCGAAACTTCGGATGGCTTGGACAGCGCGGCGAACTTGACTGGCTTCTTGGTCGGCACTGTGCGCTCCGTTGCCGAAGCCGCCGCCGAAACCTTTGACGTGCAATACTCGCTTGCCGGAGACGAGCTCTCGTAATTCCTTCAGTGTCCCCAGTTCCCGTGGGTTGTCCTGTGACTCCTGTGGGTGTATCCTCTTGCTGCGCCGGAGCCAGCAGAAGCAGGCGGTCCCGACAGCAGTGGTGCCAGCCAGACAGGCTGGCAAGTTATCGCTCAGCAACAATATCAACGGCGCCATTGAAACACAACGCTGGCTTACATAGAATGCTTCGTGCCCGAACTGCTGACTTGAACCAACATTGCCGACTTGAGCCACGGAGTGGCAAATACGGCGGCGATGACGATTGCGATGACGCCGATGATGCCAACCTCACCCCTAACGCTGTGTGCACAAGTTGACACAACAAGGCCTAGAGGAATGATATCACCTTTGGCCCTCTTGCCCCTACTCCTCCTCTTCCCCCTTCCTCATGATGTCTTCGTTTCAGCGTATCGCAGGCCCGCTATATACTACAGCGCAGGGCGCATGCATTGTTAATTTGCAAATGCATGTTCAGCCCATGTGCCGTGCCAATGGCTGGCGCATGGCTTCTGACTTGCCTTGACACCGAGCGCTGAAAACAAGAAGACGCGAGCAGAACCACGTCCGCACCTCTCGACGAACGACCCGCCCCTTCCTCCTCCTCCTCCTCCTCCTCCTCCTCCTCCTCCTCCTCCTCCTCCTCCTCATCATCATCATCAGCAGCAGCAGCAGCAGCAGCAGCATCCATCATCCTAGGCTTCCTTCACCTTCTTCTCCTCTTCCTCCTCCCTTCCTGCCCTTAATCCCCCTCCTCCTCCACCACCAGGTGCTCCTCACTCTCGCCCACCATCACAAGACAAGATGATCATCATCAGTCTCCTTATCTTCCTTCAGCGCCTCCTCCTCCTCCTCCTCCTCCTCCTCCTCCTCCTCTTCCTCATCGTCATCGTCATCATCACCACCATAATCATCATCATCACCACCATCATCATCATCATCACCGTCATCCTAGACAGATTCATCCCTCCATGCTATGAACAACTTCTGTCGCACCCCGAGACGTGTTGGTAGGGCGGGCCGGCTAAAAAGTTTGCAAGGGTTTTGCGGATGGAGGGCGGCCGCTTTTCACAATGGGGCTCTCACATGAGCCCCGTGCAGATTCGTCATATGAGTTTACAGAAATGTCAGGGAACATTACGGTTGGCGTCCCAATAATGGCGCTTTGGCAAAATGTGAGACCGTCAGGGCGCAACAGTCATGTTGGTTTTCGGTGTTGAAGTCGCAGGAACGGTGTTCTGGCACAACTCAGGATCGTCAGGACGCAGCCGTAACTTTGATTCGCGGCGTTGAAGCCCCAGGAGTGGTGTTCTGGCACAGTCCAGGATTTCCAGATGGTTGTCCTCCAACGGGGCACTTCCCTCAGTGAAATAAACCCTGGTAGGGACCCATGAAGAGGGAACTTGGAGGGAAGTTTATTGCAACATCGTTGATCAGTCTTGGGTTTACACTGGCCCTCCTCCTCCTCCTCCTGCTCCCTCTCAAACCACCTCAGGAAGGATCCAGCAGACGGGACGACGAGCCTGGGAAAAACCAGGCCCACCAAACCATGGAGCGAGGCGCCCCTCTACCGTCATCGCCCCCCCTCCGACTCCCTCCTGTCCTTCCACCTCGATCGGCCGCGCTGGCGCAGCCACAGCGCCGAGACGCATCCAGGCATCCGACGTCGTGATTCTTTCACAACGTGGCCTTTCATCCCGAGCCGTTTTTCGACGATCCTGGGGCCAGGAGACGACCCCCAGAATCCGAGAACGTCAAGAACATGGCCGCCGCGATTGTTGTTGCGTCGCCTGGACCCGAGGGCCACAAACCTACCGTTCCCTCCCCCTCCTCATGACCCTGCTCCTGTTCCGTGTCCTCGATACTCCTCCTCCTCTTCCTCCTCCCGCCCCCAGGGCAGAGGCTGGCGGGCTGGTGCAGCACTCGCGCAGCGTCCTGGGGGAACTTGAGGCTGTATAAATCCACCCTTGACGGGTGGTGGTGGGTGCTGTTCGCTAAACGCCTAGGGTCCTGTCCGCCACAGGGTCAGTCTCTAAAATCGGATCACCTTGCACCACATCGTGGTCGGGGGAGGCTCATGGATGCGTGCCACCTGGCCCCATCGGGGACCCGAGGGGGTGGTTCTGGGCACCGCCAAGTCTCGTGCCAGGTGACCCGCCTGTGCGGCCGAGGGTGTTCCAGGGTCCCGACCTGCAGTGGCAGGCGGAGGCCTGGGTCGGGGCTCGGCGCCTCGTCATCTGAGTGAGGCTGGCCTGCGCGTTGCCGCCTCCAGTTTTCCCCTCACGAGGTTTTCGGTTGCTTCGCAGCCCACGGCGGGCAGGAACTAAGACCCCTCGGGTGGTGAGTTGTGCCGCCTTGCGTTTGGGGGCATCTGGTCTCCTATTCGGTGAGGCGCGTGTGTCGCCGCGCGGGCGCCGGCGCGGCGAGCAGGAGGCCTGTCGGATGGCCGTCCCCAGTTTTCGGCAGCACAGAGTGCGCCACCAAAGAGCCCCCCAAAAGAGTCCTTCTCCTCCTCCCCTCGATCCTCCTCGATCCTCGATACTCCTCGACCCTCCTCGATCCTCCCCGATCATCATCGATCATCCGCGATGATCCGCGATCCTATTCCTCCTCTTCCTCCTCCTCCTCCTCCTCCTCCTCCTCTTCCTCTCGATCCTCCTCGACCCTCGATCCTCCTCGATCCTTCTCGACCCTCATGGATCCTCCTCGACCCTCCTCGATCCGCCTCGATCCTCCTCGATCCTCGATCCGGATTGATCCTCCTCGATCCTCCTCGATCCTCGATCCCCCTCGATCCTGCTCGATCCTTCTCGACCCTCCTCGATCCTCGAATCTTCTCGACCCCCCTCGATCACCCTCGATCCTCCTCGATGCTCGATCCTCCTCGACCCTCGATCCTCCTCGACCCTCCTCGGTCCTCCTCGATCCCCTGGAGGAGGCCCAGGCGCATCGCCGCAGGCAAGGACCCAAGAGCGGCGGCAACCGCCTGCCGCGGTCGGCGGCCCGGTCGCGGTTGCGGAGCAGAGCGATCTGCCCGCCCCCCTCTCCGTGGGCTGGCCGAGCGGCGCACTGATCGGCCATGTGTCGTCACGTGCTCCTCCTCTGCATCTCGTCTAGGGAAACAGCTATCGGCATATGGATAAACTTCTACATCTCTGGGAGGACCTCCGAAGATATGTTTATGCAATTCCACCAGCCCTCTGGGCGTGGGTGTTCTAGAGAGGCTCCTATTCCAACCCCCTTCTTCCCCTTCGGGGAGGGGTTTACCTCTCCCCCTACCCCACTCCCCTGGACTTGGACGGGGCGCCCCGCGAGCGGTCAGAGCATCTAAAATGGCCCAAGACGGCTCCAAGAGGGCCTCAGAGAGCCCAAGATGAACTCCAAGATGGCACAAGATGCCTCAAGATGGCTCCCAGCCGCCAAGAGGCCCACACCCTTCAAAAACCTAGGAAAAATCAATGAATTGTGCCTGCTCGCCTTTTTGCTGTCGATGGCCTTCCGAGGCCTCAAGACAGCTCCAAGAGAGCTCCAGAGAGCTCCAAGAGAGGCCTGAGAGAGCCTCAAGACGGCCCCAAGAGCGCCCAGCAGGGTCCCAAGAGCGCTCCAAGAGGGGTCCAAGAGACGATTCTAGGCACTCTAGAGGGGCAAAGCTGCTTGAAGCTCCTCCTTTCTTGAATCGATGTCTTCGAAGATGGCTCCAAGAGCGTCCCCAAGCGTCCCAAGAGCGCCTGCCCCAAGAGGGCCCAAAGAAGCGCCAAGGAGACCCCAAGAGGCGCCCAAGGCTCCCCGAGGTACGCAAGAGGCCAGCGGGACCGCCAAGAGGCCCCCAAGACACCCCAAGAAGCCCACAAGCTCGCCATTGTCCTCCTCCTCCTCCTCCTCCTCCTCCTCCTCCTCCTCCTCCCCCATTCCCTTTCCTTAAGAATAATCTCTCCCTGTCGCACCCCGGGGCCAGTTTCTAGGAGGGGCCCACTCATGACCCTGAAGCTTTAAACATGGCAACAGCTTCAAAGATGGATGGTTTTCGCTTTAGCGCCGCGCACATTCGTTGTAAAACATTGCAAACATTTCACGGGTGGAGGCCGGGTGGTCTTCAAAATTTGGCTCTCGCATAAGCGCCGCGCACATTCGCTTTAAAACATTGCGAAGGCTTCACGGATGGAGGGTGGGGGGTTTTCAACATGTGGCTCTCGCAATAGCGCCGCGCACGTTAACAAATTGCAAGAGCTTCACGGATGGAGGGCGGGTCGATTTCAACATGTGGCTCTCGCATTAGCGCCGCGCACACTCGTGTTAAACACTTGCAAGAGCATCACGCGTAAAGGGCGAGTGGTTTTCAAAATGTGGCTCTCGCCTTAACGCCGCGCGCATTCGTTGTACAAAATTGCAAGAGCTTCACGGATGGAGGGCGGGTGGTTTTCAAAATGTGGCTCTCGCCGTGGCGCCGCGCACATTCGTTTTAACGTTGCAAGAGCTTCACGGATGGAAGGCGGGTGGTTTTCAAAATGTGGCTCTCGCCCTAGCGCCGCGCACATTCACGGATGGAGGGCGGATCATTTTCAAAATGTCGCTCTCGCGTTAGCGCCGCGCACATTCTTTTTCAACATATGCACGAATTTCACGGATTTTCAACAATTGCCAGAGTTTCACGGATTCCCATGGTCAGCGTACCAAAAATCGTGTTTTGAAAGGATTCAAGATTATGAGGGTGCAAAAATTACGTTGGCTCGCGGTGTCGAAATCCCAAGAATGGCGTTCTGGTACGATTCAGGATCGTCAAGACGCAACAGTCTGGTTGACCCGTGGCTTTGGAATACCGAGAACAATGTTCTGGCATGCTTCAGGATCTTCAAACGGTTATCTTCCAACGAGGCAGTTCCCTCAGTGGAAATGAGCCGTTGTAGGGGCCTGTGAAGAGGGAACTTAGAAGGAGGGTTGATTCCAACATCGTTGATGACTCTTGGGTTTATACTGGTTCTCCTCCTCTTCCTCCTCCTCTCCATCTGCCCATTTCTCTCCCTCCCTTCTCCCTCCTCCCTCCTCCTTCCTCCCTCCTCACTCCTCCCTCCTCATCCCTTCTCCTCCTCCTCGTCCTCCTCCTCCTGCTCCTCCTCCGCCCCCTCCTCTTCCTCCTCCTCCTCCTCCTCCTCCTCCTCCTCCCCATCCCCCTCGTCTTTCTTCCCCGCCTTTCCTCATTCGGCAAGTCCGCGAAAGCGTATACGGTTCGCTCCTGGGTCTGCGCAAGCTGATCCAAGACTTCCGTTCGACGGCTTCCCCAACGCTTGATCGACTGCATGCTCTTTCGCTTCCCTGATCAAACCAACTCGTCTGGGCATCGTTTTGTGGATGGGCTGGTGGAGATTTTTTGCGTCGCAACCGCAGGCGAGAGCGCCAGCGGCGAGTAAGGTCCGAGCGGGACGCGCAAGAGCCTAATTGCCTAACGCCGACGGGCCGGCGACCTAAGCAACACCTAAGCGGGCGGGCTGGCGTGACGGGGGGTGCGGGCTGCAGCTGCCAGGAACCAGGTCCAGGGGCTGGTGGGGATACGCGAAGCGTCAAATGTTGTGTTTCTGTTCGAATACATTCGTCCGCTTATACCTCCTCCTCCTCCTCCTCTTCCACCTCCTCCTCCTCCTCCTCCTCCTCCTCCTCCTCCTCCTCCTCCTCCTCCTCCTCCTCAATCTACCGTTGTTCCGAGTTGCTCAACAAGTGTGAGTGGGTTGGATCGCGTGGGGGCGTCGAACTGGTTGCACGACGGGGGTGCTGATTGAATAACCTGGGGTATTCTACATTTACTACTCCTACGCCGAATCACTACCATCATCATCACCATCACCACCACCATCACCACCACCACCATCATCATCATAACAATCATCATCATCATCACCATCCTCATAATCACCACCGCCATCATCATCGTCATCATCATCGTCATCATCATCAACATGGTCAACATCATCATCATCATTCTCACCATCATCGTCGTCATCATCATCACCAACAGCAGCATCATCATCATCATCCTGATCATCATCATCAGCATCATCGTCATCATCATCGTCACCATCATCAGCATACCATAATCACCACCACCACCATCATCACCATCATCAGCATCACCACCATCATCATCATTCTCATCATCATCATCACCATCATCAGCATCATCACCGTCCTCACCACCATCATCATCACCATCACCAGTATCATCGTCACCGTTACCATCAGCATGATCATCATCATCGTCGTCGTCATCGTCATCGGTTGCGTCATCGGCATCGTCATCGTCATCGTCATCATCATCATCATTATCGTGCTCCGGTGCGGATCGTAAGCGCGCCTCGTCTCCGTCGTCGTCGTCGTCGGCGTCGTCGTGGTCGTGGTGCGTGTTGCTCTGCTCGCGATTCTGCTTCCGTTATGCAGTGACCACCCACTTGGCTTGCCAAGCATTGCACGCCGCCTGGCTGTCCGTCCGTCCGTCTGTCTGTCTGTCTTCCCGGCTCTCTGAGCCGCGGCGCTTTGAGCTTCTTAGCTCGGGGACGCGTCAGCCACCGCCGCCCTCTCCCTTGTCGGTGGCCCTGACGAGGTCGGGGGAGAGGGTGCCGAAACGCGCCCAGAGTCCAGCAAGGCATGAGGGTGCAAACCCGACTTGTCTGGCTGATGCTCTGGGGGGGCCTGTGCTCAGGGGAGGCTGCAGCACCGCTCAACGATGTGGTGTTTAACCGAACCTGCAGGATGGGCCCTTTCCCAAATCCGTGCTCCGGTGCGGATCGTAAGCGCGCTTCGTCTCCGTCGTCGTCGTCGGCGTCGTCGTGGTCGTGGTGCGTGTTGCTCTGCTCGGGATTCTGTTTCCCTTATGCAGTGACCACCCACTTGGCTTGCCAGGCATTGCACGCCGCCTGGCTGTCCGTCCGTCCGTCTGTCTGTCTGTCTTCCCGGCTCTCTGAGCCGCGGCGCTTTGAGCTTCTTAGCTCGGGGACGCGTCGGCCACCGCCGCCCTCTCCCTTGTCGGTGGCCCTGACGAGGTTGGGGGAGAGGGTGCCGAAACGCGCCCAGAGTCCAGCAAGGCATGAGGGTGCAAACCCGACTTGTCTGGCTGATGCTCTGGGGGGGCCTGTGCTCAGGGGAGGCTGCAGCACCGCTCAACGATGTGCTGTTTAACCGAACCTGCAGGGTGGGCCCTTTCCCAAATCCGTGCTTCGGTGCGGATCGTAAGCGCGCCTCGTCTCCGTCGTCGTCGTCGTCGGCGTCGTCGTGGTCGTGGTGCGTGTTGCTCTGCTCGGGATTCTGTTTCCCTTATGCAGTGACCACCCACTTGGCTTGCCAGGCATTGCACGCCGCCTGGCTGTCCGTCCGTCCGTCTGTCTGTCTGTCTTCCCGGCTCTCTGAGCCGCGGCGCTTTGAGCTTCTTAGCTCGGGGACGCGTCGGCCACCGCCGCCCTCTCCCTTGTCGGTGGCCCTGACGAGGTTGGGGGAAAGGGTGCCGAAACGCGCCCAGAGACCAGCAAGGCATGAGGGTGCAAACCCGACTTGTCTGGCTGATGCTCTGGGGGGGCCTGTGCTCAGGGGAGGCTGCAGCACCGCTCAACGATGTGCTGTTTAACCGAACCTGCAGGGTGGGCCCTTTCCCAAATCCGTGCTTCGGTGCGGATCGTAAGCGCGCCTCGTCTCCGTCGTCGTCGTCGTCGTCGGCGTCGTCGTGGTCGTGGTGCGTGTTGCTCTGCTCGGGATTCTGTTTCCCTTATGCAGTGACCACCCACTTGGCTTGCCAGGCATTGCACGCCGCCTGGCTGTCCGTCCGTCCGTCTGTCTGTCTGTCTTCCTGGCTCTCTGAGCCGCGGCGCTTTGAGCTTCTTAGCTCGGGGACGGGTGGCCCTGACGAGGTTGGGGGAGAGGGTGCCGAAACGCGCCCAGAGTCCAGCAAGGCATGAGTGTGCAAACCCGACTTGTTTGGCTGATGCTTCGGGGGGGTCTGTGCTCAGGGGAGGCTGCAGCACCTCTCAACGATGTGGTGTCTAACCGGGCCT